GTAGTATGTGCAGCCACACTGTTGAAAATAACAGGGGGCAATTTCCGTCAGGTAACACTGGAAGATCAGGCACCCGGGGAGACATGTATACAATATGATATACCCTGTATTGAAGGTTTGGAGGCTTTCCTGGCCGAGGGTCCGCCACCCTCACGGCTACCTAGCTATTTCAATATTGAACAGTGCCCGGAGTGTCAAGTACCATATGAGGACCCGTTTATTGGAGTGCCGGACGACATTTCGCCCATTCTCCGCAAGAATCCAGTGTTGTTCCCACCCAGGGATATTTTGGACCGATTTGATGTGAGGACACTAATAAATTACTATCGTCCCAAACGGGTGGAACCAGATCCCGAGATGTCATTTGTTCATCTCTTTCTGGACACTGCGTCACCAGTTCCTGACCTTCCCGAAGGCCTCATCTTCTATGTTAAGAGACTGATGGCACCTTATTCGGTTGGTCAGTTGGCACAGAAAATAAAGCTATTTTGCCCTCCACAGAGCCAAGCTTTCTGGGACCATTTTAACTGGAACCAGGGAGAAGCAAACCCGGCATTAGGTTCACAAGAAGCATAGGGAGAAACGAGAAGGTTATTGATCTTGCAAACTTATTGTGATTTGCATGAAAAAAAAAGGGGGGGTGGGGGGAGGGAAGAGAAATAGGTTCAAGATTCCAAAATTTTTCATCCTTACATTTGATTTGTGATATCTAACAACATCTGCATTTATTATATTCAATCAGAAATTGTTACTTAAAAATGTTATTTGCTCTAACATGTCTTCTACACTTCTCAGATAGGTACAACCTAAGACAGATCCTATCTGAGACACTTACCTGTATTTGAATTTTGCGTTTTCTTGTCCTCAGATATATAGTTACTTATTTGATATTTCTCATTGATATTGTATTCTTGACTTATTGATATGTATACAAATCTTTACAATTGTTATGTATTTGATACATGTGTATGTATGTTGGAACTTAAGCCATTTATCAGTCGCATGGGACATGCTCTACAACGGGAGGGGCATGTATAACCAGGATATTTAGAGTTGAAAACATTATATGCATTTTATAAATATTTAAAGAAAATTTGAAGTCAAGTTAAGAAGGGTGAATGTACCGGGAAAGTGCATTGACCAAGCTAACCGAACTGTTATTGATTCACTTTTCTTGGGGGAATAACAATTTCTCTGAATTGACATAAATGAGGGTGAAAGGTTCAAACTGGTGTTTCTACACAATTGGGTGGATGGACATTTGGGATACAGATGGTCAGTTTGGTCAGTTTGTCAATAAAGGGGCACGCATAGGATCTGAAATGATTTGATTAAGTATCTTCTGGCGCCTACCAGTCTGAGATATTAGTTAGATATGTCAACGTTTGGTTGATGTATGGCTTAAGGATAACTAGCAATGTCATTTTATCACTGGAAGAATTTGACGGTACCAAATAAAGTCTCCGAAAGGGACTAATGAAAGTAACTAATTATTAAGATTGGATATGAGTCATTTTGTATTAGGTAGGACATTATTTTTTGGGGAAGAGAGAGAGAGAGAGGAGCCAAAATTGTCAGAAAAGATATTTCTCACATGTCGAGGGGAACAGAAGGGATTCTGGGCCCCACCGTTGACTTGAGAGGTTCTCTCTGTATATTGAGAGAATGGCTCAGATGAACTAGTAACTTTAGGAGTTGTACAAGAATCCAACAAGTTCTTCCATGAGATTTGTGAATCTGTGTTGCATGTAGAACAGGAAAGCTAGGCAATATCTGAGGACCTTTGTGAAAGAATTCATTCCAAAATAAATGGACTTGAACACCATACCGGACTTATCTTTGACTATCCATCTTAGCTACATCATCCCCAGAACCAGAGTGGCTAGACAGATTGCCTAGGGAGAAAGGGTATAACACCCCGACACCCTCAGGTAACAGTAGTCCAAGCATGAAGATCAAGGCGACGAAAACCGACATGTCACTTGACTTACATTACACGATCGCACGAAAAGATGGAAATAGTAACTTATATGTACGTTTGACAACTTGTATGAGTACTGTTGTTGATTATATTTATCTATTTTGACTGCTGCCAGGACATCATGTCAAGTATTCATAACATCAACTATAGAATAACTCTGCAATGGATTCCAAGTATCCAGGGTAGAATATCAGGAGTCCAACTGGCCCACATTAAGCAAATTAACTAATTAAACATTCCCACTGGTCAGTGACATAGGAGTGACAGCGGGTAGGAAGGCCTCTAATAGATGACCAGCCATCCCACACTAATCGGGCACATGTGCTGGTCCCCCTAAATATAGTAATGGCCAGAGGATCAAACAATAGCCCCTGACCTGCAGAACACTGGACAAAGGACATTTTGGCCAAGTCATTACAGATATCCAATCACGATAATGAGGCAAACCAATTAAGTTCAAGACAAACGGAAGAACATTGTGCAAAGTGCATTTTGGCCAGTAATTCCCTTGTCCAGTTATGATAATTAGGGGCCTAATTAGGATTAAGACCAAATCGGGAAAGCAAATAAGGATGACTCATCACTGACCAGATGCAAAGGGGGGTCAAAAACAAAGGAACAAGAATGTCCAACCCTGGGTTTATAACAAGACAGGCAATAGGCCTGGGAGGGAAGTGGCAGAGAAGTTGTGGCCTATGCTTCAAAGTGTAGACTGAATAAACAGTTGTGGACCCTCAGACGGACTTGAGTTGTTCATGCCAAGACATCCACTTAGAGTAACAACCAACTTCTTTAAGTGTGATACTGGTGGAGATGCAAAACCAAAACTGTAAACCTTTCATCACGTAAGAGAGACCACATGTTACACACCAATGTACATATGGAAAGCCAACCAATTACTCGTGTATATATGTATATATAGTCGCTGACCATTAGAGTAAAACATGACAGGCAATAGGCCTGGGAGAGAAGTGGCAGTGAAGTTCTGGCCAACACTTGGAAGTGTAGACAGACTTGAGTAATGACTAGAGTAATGACTAATTTCTGTAAGTGTGATACAAGTCATGTTGACATCAAAGGCAACTAAGAGGCTGATACAGCAGGTCAGTGTTGAAAGAGACTTAATCATGCTTCTTCCTAACAAGCAAGATTCACCAACAACTCCATAGAAATGGATGGAAAGATGGACTGAATCAGACAAAGGAAGATAATACTGGGCGAACCAACCTTCACAAAACAAGTGCAGATGTAAGAATATTCAGAGACAACACCAAGTGACAATATCACAGCTAAAGCTGAACCACTTCCCTGGCCAGCAATACCTGCATTGATTCAAGTTTGTCAGATAATCAAATCTGCAAGCTCTGTGGTGAAGAAGATAAAACAATTGCCCACATCATTCTGAGGTGCCCAAAACTTGCTATGCTATGGGTAAGAAGTTTGTAAAATAAAAAGATCTGTTCAACTATCCACTTGTAAGCATTTCCCAATAGCAAATAAATCTGATACCTCCAATATGGTTTCAGGCAGTGCAGTTGGTATCCCATACAGGTTGACTACAGTTATCAAACACCAGAACCACTGTTGTGTTGAAGTTGAAGGGAGCTATGTTAATATGTTTTGTTTATTCCTGATTTTACCATTTTGCACTTTTTGTTATGAAACTTACATGATATTTCTAAACAAATAGCCACCATATTGATGGTGATGAATACTAATGTCTAGTGACTTAAGTGAGTGTAGACTCTGGTGAAACATGAAACTAGAACCTCCCAGTTATATACTCTGCTGATTAACTTCAAGGATTGCCTAAGAGCCAGAAAATTCAAGGCATGTAGCAGTGTAGGAAAGATGTAGAAAATCTAGCCTGTCCACAGGACTGGCAGGTCAAATTTTTTACCAGTCCTGCCAAAATCTAGTCTGTCCTCCAAATATAAATAAAACACCTTCGGCAGTAAATATTCAAAAAGGTTATAGTCATTATATATATGTCATTGGTTTGCAAAAATTGACCCGACATGAGGACAGACTACATATTTTTTTAACCCGTCCTCCACAAAATTCACCCGTCTCGGACGTTGGGACCGGCTATCTTTCCTACACTGCATGTAGCATAATGTTTAGCCATGAAGGAAGATAAATGTCACTGTGAAAATAAATAAGGACCATTCCAGATGAAGAAAGTAACCAGCAGGTCTGACCAAAAACTGGGGCACATTGTTGGTATGACATGCAAATTAAGACAGGAAGTGGGTGTGGAAGTAACAAGAAAGATACCATTATGGTTCATGACAGCCACTAATGATGTGTCAAGAAAGACAATGCCTCTTAACCCCACCAGCAATGCTGAAGTGGCGAGGGCTTCCAAATCATTCAACATGTTGACTGTGTTACATTTGACAGTCCTTTCCAGAACTGTTCCATGGAACAAAAGGTGGCTATAAAAAAACCACCCATTAGAGCTGTGACGATATATCATAGTATCGATAATCGTGATACTTTAACTGACGATAAATATGTCGATACTTGTTTTCGTATCGTGATACGTATCATTAAAATTGTCAATTTTCACTAAAACTTGACGGTTATGTAAAAATGTACACTGTTACTTGCTATCAAAATAAACTTTTTGAAAGAAAATAATTGAAGATAGCATATCGTGATGTTCCACGAATTGAATTGTATCATTCCTAGATATCGCGATATGTATCGTACAGTGAATTTTCTGTATCGTCACACCTCTACCATCCATGTGTGTCAAACAGTCATTTTATGTTTGCTTCAAGTGAAGCTCTGAGCAACCCATGTTCATGCATAACTGTAAGGAGCATATGGTACAAAATGGCTGCCAGCCAAAGCAAGGTTACCCCTACACAGTTTAAAAACAGATTTAATCAATTCTAATTCGTATTCTAATGCTAAAATTGAGTTATTATGCGAAGATATATATATGAAATAAAATAGACCCCATTAGAAAGCACACAAGCATACAACTCTTAGATAAAGCATCAAACTCACACTGACGTCATTAAATTACGTGTAGTAGAGAGGTATAACGTTACTCAATACCCTTTGATCACACTGTCGACAATCTTGGGCTGGATAACTTGAAGCTGTGAATGTGTCCCGCATTTTCAGAACAGGAATCCATGACGTTGCCCTCTGTGTATCTTCAGACAACTTGATGCTGTGAATGTTCCTCCGACTCTCGCCGCACTTTCAGGGCAGGATTCCATGATGATGCTCTCCGAGTGTCTTCAGACAACTTGATGTTCCATCAACTCTCACCACACTTTCAGGACAGGACTTTGATGATGATACCCTTGGTCTGTCTTTGGCTAACTGATGTTGTGAATCTGTCCCATAAAAATTCATGGCAAGAATCCATGAATGATTCAGTCTTTCATATTTCGTCAGGCTTTTGATTCTGTAACTGCCATCTTGATTCCACCATGAAGCCTCTGCTGATGCATCTTCATGCATCATGATGTTGGTAACCCTTTTCAACACACATTGTAGTCAAGGGGATTAATTATAATGTGACTGCTCATGTTGTCTGAATGACCGAAGCTTACATATTTGCAAAAATGAATGTCTGCACTCACTATCCTTACTAGGCTTCATTCAACTGTGATGCATTACATGTTTTCTTAGATTACTACTTAGTTTAAATGTTTTCCCACATTCACTACACTTATGAGGTTTTTGTCCACTGTGACTCAGCATGTGAGATTGCAGTCTGTCAGCCCTTGCAAATTCTTTACCACATTCACCACACTTAAAAGGCTTGATACCACTGTGAAGCCTCAAGTGTGTCTTCAGATATCGTCTTTGTGTAAATGTTTTCCCACACTCACTACACTCATAAGACTTCTCACTATTGTGACTCTGAATGTGTGTCTGCAGGGTTGATGCTTGTGCAAACTCCTTCCCACATTCATCACATTTAAATGGCTTGATATCACTGTGAATTCTCATGTGGGTTTTCAGAGTATCTCTCAATGGAAACGTTTTTCCACAGTCGTCACACTTATATGGCTTAACTCCACTGTGATGCATCATGTGAGACTGCAGTCTATCGGCTCTTGCAAACTCTTTACCACATTCACCACACTTAAAAGGTTTAACACTACTGTGAATCCTTAAGTGTGTCTTCAGATATCTGCTTTGTGTAAATGTTTTCCCACACTCGCTACACTCATAAGACTTCTCACTATTGTGACTCTTGATGTGTGTCTGCAGGCCAGCTGCTTGTGCAAACTCTTTATCACATTCTCCACATTTAAATGGCTTGATATCACTGTGAATCCTCATGTGTGTCTTCAGAGTATCTTTTAACGAAAAAGTTTTTCCACAGTCATCACACTTGTACGGCTTCACTCCACTGTGATGCGTCATGTGAGACTGCAGTCTGTCAGCTCTTGTAAACTGTTTCCCACATTCATCACATTTATATGGCTTGATACCACTGTGAATCCCCATGTGGGTCTTCAGGTATCTTCTTAGTGTAAATGTTTTCCCACATTCATCACACTTGTGAGGTTTAAGTCCACTGTGATGCATCATGTGAGACCTCAAACTATCAGCTCGTGCAAACTCTTTCCCACATTCATCACAATTAAAAGGCTTGATATCACTGTGAATCCTCATGTGCGTCTTCAGAGAGTCCTTTAATGAAAACGCTTTCCCACACTCACTGCACTTAAATGGCTTGAATCCACTGTGATTCAGCTTGTGAGACCTCAAGCTATCGGCTCGAGCATACTCTTTCCCACATTCATCACACTTAAATGGCTTGATATCACTGTGAATCTTCATGTGTGTCTTTAGAGTATCTCTTACTGGAAATGTTTTCCCGCATTCCTCGCACTTGTAAGGCTTGAGTCCACTGTGACTCAGCATGTGAGATTGCAGTCTGTCAGCTCGTATAAACTCTTTCCCACATTCACTACACTTATAAGGCTTGTCTTCACTGTGGCTCAGCATGTGAGACCTCAGACTATCGGCTCGAGCATACTCCTTACCACATTCATCACACTTATAAGGCTTGATACCACTGTGAATCCTTTTGTGTGTCTCCAGGTATCTTCTCAGTGTAAATCGTCTCCCACACTCCTCACACTTGTATGGCTTGATTCCACAGTGAAGCATCATGTGAGACTGCAGGCTATCGGCTCGAGCATACTCCTTCCCACATTCAGCACACTTAAAAGGCTTGACACCACTGTGAATCCTCTTGTGTCCCTCTAAAGTTGCTCTTACAGAAAAAGTTTTTCCACACTCATCACACTTATGAGGCTTGATTCCAGTGTGACTTCTCATGTGGAACCTCAGGGTACCTGCTTGACCATACTCTTTCCCCGCATTCACCACACTTGAAAGGCTTGACACCACTGTGAATCCTCTTGTATCCCTCTAGAGTACCTCTTACAGAAATTGTTTTCCCACACTCATCACACTTGTGAGGTTTGATTCCACTGTGACTTCTCATGTGGAACCGCAGAGTAGCTGCTTGACCATACACTTTTCCACATCCATCACACTTATAAGGTTTGATATCACTGTGAATCCTCTTGTGTGTCTCTACATATCTTCTCAGTGTAAACGTTTTACCACAGTCATCACACTTGTAAGGCTTCAGTCCACTGTGACTCAGCATGTGAGACTGCAGGCTATCGGCTCGAACATACTCCTTCCCACATTTAGCACACTTAAAAGGCTTGATACCATTATGAGTCCTTTTGTGTTTCTCCAGATATTTTTTCAGTGTAAATGTTTTCCCACAGTCCTCACACTTGTAAGGTTTGATTCCACTGTGAGTCAGCAAATGAGACTGCAGGCTATCGGCTCGAGCATACACCTTTCCACATTCACCACACTTAAAAGGTTTGACACCACTGTGAATCCTGATATGTTTCTTCAGAGTACCTCTTAGAGTAAATGTTTTCCCGCATTCAGTACACTTATATGGCTGGATTCCACAGTGAAGACCCTTCTGATGTGTCTTCATGCTCCAAGATGTTTTATATACTTTCCCACACACATCACACTCAAGGGGCTTTATTTCACTTTGACTCATATTCAATCAAATTTACCACATTCAACACACTAACGAGTCTTGTCTCTCCATGTCATGACTTTCACGTTATTTTTGCAAGTTCCTTGATGTAGTAAATACTTTCTCCCACATTCACCACAATGTAACCACTCTCGTGTCTTCATGTCTTCCTTAAGATGATCATTTGCTTTGAATTCTTTCACATACACACTAACGAGTCTTGTCTCCATGTCTTGAATCTCCCATATTTTGTGCAAGTTCCTTGATGTAGTAAATACTTTCCCACTTTCACCACAATGTAGCCACTCTTGTGTCTTCATGTCTGCCTTGAGATGATCATTTGCTTTGAATTCTTTCACATACACACTAACGAGTCTTGTCTCTCCACGTCATGACTGTCCCATATTTTGTGCATGTTCCTTGATGTAGTAAAATACTTTCCCACATTCACCAAAATGTAGCCACTCTCGTGTCTTCATGTCTGCCTTGAGATGATCATTTTGCTTTGAATTCTTTCACATACACACTAACGAGTCTTGTCTCTCCATGTCTTGACTCTCCCACATTTTGTGCAAGTTCCTTGATGTAGTAAATACTTTCGCACATTCACCACAATGTAGCCACTCTTGTGTCTTCATGTCTGCCTTGAGATGACCATTGGCTGTCATGTTCTACACTGGTTATGTGTCTCTCCTGTGTGGTATATCTTAAGTGTTTCTTCACATAGCTTGCCAGCGACAAATCTTTCCAACAGTTTTTTGCACTCCACTGTACATGTTATATATTTTCCTAAACCTGCTGCACTAAGACTGCTCTTCTGGAGCAGTCTTGTACCTTGACATGATCTGTTGCCAGCAATGCTCTCACAGTCTCTGATCACATTTGTTTCGGTAAGAGCCATGATTCTGTGGCTGGCTTTGTGCTTGCATCATAATTTGTGGATGTTATGGGTGTCACTGAAAATATAAAAGAAATCACTTTCCTTTATCGAGTTTATCATGATGTATTTTGTTTAAGAATCTTCTAAGATGATTTTACAATAACCTTACAATAAAACCTGGGCTGGGCTGATGCACACAATGTCACAGAAAGTCAAGAAATAACATACAGAAGAAAAAACAGGATACAACATAACAACTTACACTGAATCAAAACATCCTTGGTCAACATAAATTGATTTTAGACAGACATTAAGGGAAAAAACACATTACAGAAACTCTTAGAATGCACTACAGCTTGTTCAGCTTGACCTGATCAAGTGAATACTATTGCATTGCGTGACCGTGTCACAACTGGTTGGGTCTATTATTGTGAAGGGGTGCACCTTTGTCAGTTGATTGTCAACATGTCCAAACAGCAAGGTCACCATTCAGCATTCTCTGCTCCCCGGTTTAATGAAGATAACTCAACCTGCCGTTTGTGCCATTTGACCTTCTTGGTCATGCATATGTAGAGTAGCCCTGGTCAAGCTGAACAAGCTGTAAATTTTACTGAGCATAGCAACAATATGTTACATACTTACATCTTGACTTCCACTCTGTCTTCAAGGGAGTCATCTGCATACAATAAGGGGTCATTTTCTTTCTAAAAAACAAACAAATTCAGAAAATTAATTCACTGATTCATAAGCAGTGAGCACTCAATCATAGCTGGAATATTGCTGAATGCGGTGTTAAACAACCAACCAACTCAATCATAATGTCAGTGTGTGATAGTGCAGAATAATCTTCAAATTGAAAATTATATCACATCAATTTAAGCAATACCTCCGTTTAAACTATTTCTGTCGACGTCTAAGTGTCAGTATGTTTCTGTTACTGTAGCTCATCATGAGAATCTGCCGACTTCCTATTGCATCAAATCGACGCATCAACCAAATTAACCTGAGTATTTTCAAAACAGATTGTGTCAAATATACATCAGGACAATCCCTGTCCTTATAGACATTGTTTGTGTCGGTATGCTGACCTACAGTTACATGGACATTCAATTAGGGCTGAGGGGTGGTGGTATAGCCCTTGGGTTACAGTGTTCACTCGTCACCCCGAAGAGTGAGTGAGTGAGTTATTATTTAACGTCACATCGGCAATATTTCAGCCATATCGTGACGAGAAAACTTGACATTGAAATCGAATATATATAGAGATTATAAAACCTGCCGACAAAGGAGAGTAAAGCAACTAGAGTATCACAGATATATATGTAAAACTAGTAATTGAATCTAAAACATTTTAACTATAGGGGACAACACAATATAAAAAATGGGCTATAGATCGCCAACAACTGAAGGTATCACCCCGAAGACCCGTGTTCAATTCCCTACATAGGTACAATGTGTGAAGCCCATTTCTGGTGTATCCTGCCGTGATATTGCTGGAATATTGCTAAAAGTGGTGTAAAAACCATCAATCAATCACTCAATTAGGGCTGGTTATCGATATAGATCACAGAGATTAATAATCCTTTAACTAACATTATGATTTTGTCTAACAGTCTAGGGTTTGTTGTAGGCACATGTACTACAGATATGTACCCCAAGTATGTTTCCTAAACAAAGTCAAAATGCAGAAATGTACCCAGTGTTTAAAGTGAATTGTTTCCCTAAGTTAACCAACACTAGAAAGAATGATCTGGCCTTGTGAGTTCCAACGTTCTTTAATACATGTGCTTTTACAAAGACGCCTGCACACCAACTGATGACGTCGTCATGTGACGTAATGCACAGTGCGCACATAATAATGGTATGACTACTTGTTACACCCAGTACCCTAAACAGCCGGTGAGTTTATATTCCTATGGCCAAAACCGAAACCGTATGTAGTTGTTCCCGTTCAACTGATGTGCAAATTAACATGATGACGAGCAGTGGGAGGAAAGAAGACATGTTTCAACGCGATGGCACACCTATGTGCGTTCGTGTACATGAAAACATATTTGCATGGGGTAAATCTCCATTGAATAGGCTTTCAGAAAATATTAAAATCATGTTTCTGTGAAATTGGCACATAGGTCAAAATTGTCGTCAAAAACTGACTACTTTTACTCGTGATTGTGAGAGGTGTCTCTCGTACGCGTAACGGATCTGTGAAGACAGTTTGTTTGTCGATGACGAGCAGTGGGAGGAAAGTAGACATGTTTCAACACGATGGCACACCTATGTGCGTTCGTGTACATGAAAACGTACTTACATGGGGTAAATCTCCATTGAAGAAGCTTTTAGAAAATATTAAAATCATGTTTCTGTGAAATTGGCACACAGGTCAAAACTGTCGTAAAAAAAATGACTACTTTTGCTTATACTTAGTTTTATTTCCTAAAACAATGTCTGGGATATTAAATATATTTCAAAGCTTATACCATTCGGTAGCAATGAAGTATGTACTTCTCGATGTCAACGTATGTTCGGGTTTGATTCTTTGTTTTTATAAATTGTACTTAGAGATGTTTGTGTGCTACTGGATGAAATATGTGGTCCATCGATAAGAAGTCACGCCTACGAGTGACCCTCTCCCAAACAGTCGTGCACTTGCTTCTGAAAGGCGTCTCTAGTACACTTAACAGGTCTGCAAGGACGAATTGTTTGTCTATGATGTCTATGACGAGCTGTGGGAGGAAAATAGACATGTTTCAACGCGATGGCACAGTTATGTGCATTCCTGTACATGAAAAAGTACTTACATGAGGTAAATCTCCATTGAACGAACTTTCAGAAAATATTAAAATCACGTTTCTGTGAAATTGGCACATGGGTGAATTTTTTTGTCAAAAAACAACTAATATGACAGCAAACTGAAAACTTACGCAGGCGCATTGTTTTTACACCGGTAGAAGTGACCACCTCTCTTATGATTATACTTCCACCAAATAACATAGTCCGTATAAAAAAAATGTTATTCGTAATTTTGTATTAATTTATTATATCCTCTTTGTTGTAACGCAAGAAAAATATCCCCATTTATAGTCGTACGCTTCTGACAGTCCAAGTCACAAGACGGATGTTTTGACTGAACAGTGCCACCTGTAAACACCGTCTCCAGTGCAGAAGCTTCTCTGACAACCGGGACACAAAATGTTTGAAATATCCAGCTTTCACGTAAGTTGTGACCTAAATTTCTGTCAAAGTACTAAAATTCTACCCTAGAACATAATGCACTTTCAGAAAATTCATAAATGTGATCATAACTTTTGAAATAAAGCTCGTAACTTGTCAAGCGGCCATCGTCTGCTAGAGTGAAAAGCCACGCATAAACATCACGTGACTCTAATGGAATGTTGCAGACGTAATAAAAAAACTTTACTGGCCACATAAAGAAACTGTGCACACAGAAAACATAAATATAGGCACACAGCGTATTTATACATAAATACATTTGTAAACATAGCAAGTATTGGAGACAATCAAACGCTCATGCACGTGCCAGGCGACGTGACGCCATTGACGGTGGCCTAAGGCCTTGCAATGTGTTACTGCACGTGCAGCCCGTACAGATGCACACAACATGTGAAACTCTGAAATAGCTGTCACTGTCGAAAGCTTGATCTTTGGTCACTCAAACGTTCACCAATTCACATGAGAAGTCACATGCACATCATGCCAAGATTAACATCTGCTCAACGTCATGAAGCCATTGGAATGGTTCGAGCAGGAATGAGCCAACAACAGGTGGCAGCACTTTCCAAATGCCATTGTAACACGATATCTGCATGGGTCAGGCGTTATCGAAACAGTAATGACGTCGCCGACCACCCACGTTCTGGGTGTTCCCGACGTAACAACGCCAAGACAGGACAGGTGGATTCGGGCGACTCATCTCAGATACAGGTTCCAGACAGCAGTGACCACACCTCAGACCATTTCCCAGGCCTCCAATGCTCATTTGGTAGCCTCTATGCGTCGTCGTTCCACTGCTGTGCGTCATGCACATGATGGTCATACCCCTCATTGATTTTGTGACTTTGTCGTGTGACCCCCTACTCGATTTTGAACTTCTGACGTCATCGTTACGGATATTGTTCATGTTCTTTTGACAATTTCTTGTGGTCCGATACTTCAGCTTATAAAGTGTCTACATCATTTCGTCTTTGCTGTGTTGTATTCCAATTCTGAAGGCATTTTCTGTGTGCACAGTTTCTGTATGTGGCTAGTATATATAAGACCGAATTGGTCATCTCTTGCATATTTTTTTTTCCGTGTTGCAGAAGTCGTCTCGGCTTGTGACCACTGGATTCATTTAAAATACTGCTGCGATGTCACTGTACTGCGCAGACATGACATGTTTTATCATGTTTATTGTCCCTGCCATGGCAGACAAGAAGAATGAGTGCACATGATTGAATAACTTACCTGTAAATATATTTATTTTTAACAATTTTTACAAAAAAACACGCTCAAATAATCAAGAAAATAATGACCAATAATTTATTAAAATGCCACGTTGTATTTGTTGACTTCTTGTGAATGCATCACCTGGGCTTCAATACAAGGTCGTGACCCCGCGCTATAACGAGTAACCCGAAAACATGGTACATCACTTCTCCCGCTCGCGCTGGCGGACAGACACAAAATGTTCACTGCATTGGAAACCAGCGGATGACAGAACATTCTGACAATAAATTTATGAAAGGTGATATGATATTTAATTACGGAATTACAGTTTTGATAATCTACTGATACGCAATAATTTACATGGTCATCTTTTGCGTTATTACCCCGAAAACATGTTACACCATGGTACTGATTAAGTCACACCTCCACCTCCCCCCTTACCACATGTCATGTACAAAAGCCAATGTGACGTTAAATTTTAACTCACTCACTCACTCATGTATAAAACTGCTGACTAAACAAGAAAAAGACAGCGGGCGTGGATTTGCTCTGTGTTACGTTTCTGCATTCTGTCTTTGTCTAGGGTGAATTTCTGAATATAGAAACGTGTCGGAGTCAGCATTAGTACCGTATGAAAACGACCCCATCAGCATAAGCTGGCTAGGGCAGAGACCATATATGGTCTTTGATTTAGGAGATAATTTCATCACAGACAAGGGCAAAAATAAACCTGATTGCAAAGATGAAACAATTTAATATCGGTCGACTCTAGTGAGAATCAGAACGACAGATGGTCCCACACTTTCTTGTAAGTACAAAATGGAAGTTTCAAGGCAGCATCAGGCAGCACAACGATTTGAATCAGACCAGTGGCTGCGGACCAAGTCACACAGGGAACCACCGCCCATTTCATTAGTTCATTTACGATATTTTCATACATTTTCAAAAGTGGTCAGTCTTACCTCGGCAAGAAATGGCTTTATGTCGCGTAAACAATTTCGAAGTTGCACACGTCTGCAAGAAATTCGCTCTGAGCAGCCTTCTAGTTTCTTCTCTCATTGTTCGTGCAGATGTCACCAAAGGGACATCACTCTATGTAACTCATGCACGGTTCTCTGGACCATACGGAAAGCTAATACGTTCTGACACGTTCAATCCTCACGCGGACATTCTTTGTCGAAATATTTTCAATAACAGATTAAAAGATGAGAGCATCCTCGAAACTATGAATACTATTGTTTTTCAAAAAGAGTCTTCTTCAACATTCAGACTTAATTCTTATGTACACCCAGGGAGAATAGATGGCGCTGTTGACTATCCCTGATATACCACACAATTGGATATTTCTAGCGAGGCTGGAAGCAGACGCAAACCACAGGCCCCCACTGCGGGTCAGAAAATCGATAAACTAGGCCCCGGTTTATAGTAGGGGGTGTTGATACTAAACCGGGGCCTAGTTTATCGATTTTCTGACCCGCAGTGGGGGCCTGTGACACAAACCTCCTCACACTCTACCAATCAGCAACAAAGGGTTCTTCCAGATATTTGAGGAACCGTTCATTAGTCATAGCTGGGGTGTGTGGTGGTGGTGGTGTGTGTACGGTGTGTGTGTGTGTGTGTGTGTGTGTGTTGGGGGTGTTTGGGGATGGGGGGTGGTATATGATGATTTTTATGGTGAAGCATGTACAATGTGAATGACCCCCAAATATTTATGTACAAAGTAAGTGACCCCCCCTGCATGTCATATACAAAATCATTGACCTCCCCCTTTCCGTAAGTTTTAAGCATATTTTTTTAATATATACATATGTGCATATGCTAAGCACCGCCAAATTACAATTGGAAATTCCAAGTATAAAAAAATTGCATGAACACAACCAATATGATACCCAGGCGCGTAGCAAGCCAATTTCTTCGTGTAAGCCCGACAGACTGCGAAGCTTTATATTTAGATAGTATTTAGGGCTTTCATTCTTTTATGAGACCTGAAGTGCTATCGTTTGACGATTGATGATTTCAATAGCTTCAAAATATTGTTATCTTATCAATATTTTGAAATCATAAGAAGAGCTTAGAGTAGTCTACCATTAATTCAGACAGTATAATCATTTGACTGAAATGTGACTTCCTCATATGCAAATATGTTTTGACATTGTTTAACGCATGTTTACTGCATTGATACAATACCATGCATCGCGTATTTTTTTCTCCATGACATGATAAACAAATGAAGAATAAACAAAGATAAATGAAGTCTTTATAGAACGCTGGTCATGTAGTGTAGTGCTTCAGTGAGTGAGTTAAGATTTTAAGTCACATCGGCAATATTTCAGCCATATCGTGACTATTAACAAGTTATAATGCCATAATAAACCATTAAAAAAAACTGTCGGCGAAGGACAGTATAATAACTAGAATATCACAGATGTAATTGTAAAACTAGTATGAAAATCTAAAATGTCATAACTATGACTGACTGAAGACAATACAATATGGGCTTCACACATTGTACCCATGTGGGGATTCGAACCCGGGTCTTCGGCGTGATGAGCCAACGCTTTAGATCTAGGTTGCTATAGATCGCGAACAACTGAAGTGTAGTGTTTCAAAATGTTGCAGAGGACTTCACTAAAGCCTGAATGTCACAATAGTCTTAAAAGCCTGCAGAATGACTAAAGAATGGAATAATGCATAAGTTTTCGTTGAAGGGCAACACCTTTCAAATTTATGATATGAAGAATAATATGTACATGGTGACTGTACTGGTAATACTAGTGATCACAGCTAGAATATTGGAGTCAATATGATTCATGGAGGGATTGCTATTTTTTAAATTGTTCTGATAGCGTGTTTGTAGGTATGTTTGGCAAGAATTAGAAGAACAATTTTTGTAGCAAAAATCATGTGTAAGCCCAGGCTTTTTTCTATAATGGTAGCTACGCCCCTCATTCCCCACAAGTGTCAATTTTCCACGTGCTTGTTTAAAGTGCGTGCATTTAGGGGAAGAAGTTAACCACCCCTTCCACTTGAATATAACAGTTTATCTGGAGAGATTTAAACAGCCATATGTTGCTCTGTGAAGTTCAATTTGAAATTATGCGCTGAAAACTATCCCAGGGCACCAGATGGCAGATATTAGGTATGCATAGAGGTGGTCTGTCGTGTTTATGCCATCGGTAGAGATTTGAACATTAATCACACTGTGAGAGAAACTGGAGGCGTGTCCACTGGACAGATGAAAGCAGGTTTTTGCTTCATGCTGTCGATGGTCGTACGCGAGTGTGGAGAGTACGTGGTACCGAATACGCCCAGGGTAATATTGCTGAGGAAGTGGATCTGTTATGATATGGGGGTTGCTGTTCCCATGGTTTTAAACTGCAGTTGGTTCAAGTTCGTGGAAACCTTAATGGGCAAGGTTACCAACAAATTCTTGACAATCAGGTCGTACCACATTTTGATGGACATCCACTTGCTTCCAGACCAATATTTATGGTTGACAGTGCTTGGTCTCATCGCGCTCGTGTCGTTACTGACTTCCTACGGAGGAGCGCCATTGAGACTCTCCTTATTGGGCAGCCTGAAGCCCAGATTTAAATCCCAATGAACATGTGAGGGACGTAATGGGTCGGCAAATAAGAAGAAGGAATCCCCCTGTGCAAACTGTGCAAGAACTTGCTCAGGCACTCCAAGAATAGTGGCAGAGGATTCCAATGTGAAGAATCCAACGATTGGTTCACAGCATGAGAAGACGCGTCAGGGATGTTATCCGTGCGCTTGGTGGTTAGACCTGGTATTGATGAGACTACACAGAGGGATTGTGCATTACATCATCCATGATTGTGGATGCATTGCAGTGGTCCATCGTTCGTGGTTGGTGGCTGACAATCAAAGTTGGTTCAGGTCCCATTTTCTGCATTTTCAGTGCTGAACAAACGTTACGAATAAAATCAACATTTTTGTTAATTTGCCTCTTGTAATGATTCTCAGGCGTTAATAACAATGGTGGCTTTTAAGCAGACACAAAACACCATTCCACTTATGCGTTATATACCTGTGGCAGTCACATATATTTGTGTTACTGTCAAATAAACCATACACTGTACACCACTGTAATTAGTATTAGTATTAATAGTGACATTAGTATTTGCGTTAGTATTAGTACTAGTTATTAGTATATAGTGACTATAGTATTGGTATTAGCATTAGTATTAGTTATTAGTTTAAGTTATTAGTTAGTAGCTATTGATATTAGTTAGAATTATGGGTGTAAAGGATTTTAATTAAGATGTGATACTACACCTTAAATATTTTAACTTGGATATGCTTGGGTCAGTCCCTTACCTATCACTTCCTTTTGTTTAAACCAGGGCAAATGTTCTGGTTGAGTGGCTGACCCTATTGTTCTTAGCTTGCATGCTTTTTAACCCTCACTTGCACCTTAGTCACTGGACAGACAAGTCACTAACAGACTGCAGCAAGTGTACTAATTTCACTTACTTCACTACTGTCAAGGTATGTTTGTTTAATTAAATACATAAACATATATGTGTTTATCTTTTCATAAATAAAGTTATATAAACATTATGTTAAGTATGCTAAATAAGGTAATTTGTACATTTGTGAGAGGTTTAGTAAATGGCAAAATCTCCTGGATAGGCAGGTATTTGAATGAGTATTTTGATTTATAAGTTTATGAAGCTTTTATCATGTATGTGTTGTGTATGTATGTGTATATATAATAGTATTAGGATGTTTTGTATTTTACTGTGTGCTATGCCAGATCTGTAAATATGTGCTTACAGTAATTCTGATTTGATGATAATATTTACGTGTGTAAGGATGTTGTGTAGGGAAGTTAGTTTCGAATTATTTTCACATTTGTAGGTATTTTCGGTGCCACTGTAGCCGTGACCATGTAGTTGTGGGAAACTGTAGTGTGACCTACACCTAGAGGCCATACTTCTGGTATGTTTGTATATTTTCATCATGTAAACAGATACCATTATCTATTGATGACGTTTTACACACAATAAGGTGTGTGTATACTTCATATATTCTATATTTACTACTACCGGTACATATCTGGACATCTGTAATTCAGGTTTGTTGTATCTTACTTGTCAGCATTGTGTAGTCAGATGCTTGAATGTGTTGCAAGGCCACTAATATAACACAATGCAGTAATTATATATTTACCGTCTTTATTAATGATGCATATGATGTACGTATTACGGTGTTGTCCATACTTTTGTTTGCAAGTCAAATGAATTATGCTCGGATAATGTTTATTATCCTCATCATTGTTATTGTGTATTTCAGGGTGTAAAAACAACGGTTAACTAAACCCAGTCGTCCAATAAATCGAATCACACCCGTAGCCGTGTTGTCACCTTTATCAAGATGCGCACTTAAAGCTGCTACATACCCAAGAGGAATATATTGTCAAAACACTAACATCAAGATGTGGGTGTAGCTTAACTTTTGCACTGATATATACTTATGTACAAACAGGACCAACAAGTACCATATTTTAACGTCTTTTGGTATGACGCGGCCGAGGATAGAACCCGCGACCTTCCACTCTCCGGGCGGACGTTCTCTAGATGACCACTACACCATGGAGGCGGTCTCATGCATGAGTGAGTGAATAAGTTTAGTTTTACGCCGCACTCAGCAATATTCCAGCTATATGGCGTCGGTCTGTAAATAATCGAGTCTGGTCCAGACATTCCAGTGATCAACTGCATGAGCATAGATCTACGCAACTGGGATACGATGACATGTGAGGGTTCGAATCCCTGATATGCTATTACAGTTGTCAACACCAGTGTGGTGCTCGGTAGTTTCGCTGGAGTGGTAAATATCGGAGATCTGCATCACGTGGGTCACATTAATCTGACAAGACGGGATGTTACTTCAATACAACTCAATGCACGGTAAACCGGCCGTACCTGCCTAATGTGCGTCTGTAGACCTTACAACAGTTACCTACAAATATGGCCGCTCCACATGGTCAGGACTGACGTCATCTGAAGC